GAGGGCACGATAAATAAAACGGAGCTACGGTAAGGCCAGATCTGGCCCGCAGCCTGCTGTTCCTGCTTGAGTAGGATCGGCAAACTTTCATTTCATTTCTTCTAAATAATAAACAAGTCATAAAACTTTAACAGGCAAAGAAAGAGGTTAATTACATTGGAAACAAATCCAGACAAATGTATGTGTTAAGCATTATACATGATTTATTGCTGTACTACTTTTCTGAACTATGTCCTTTACATTTACACTAGTGGCCAAGATTGTGGAAACGCCTCGCATTTTTGGCATCACGCTTTAAAATTGCTAGACGAATATTGGCGGTAATGTTTATAAACAATCAAAGCATGTTTACAAATATCATACATTGGACGATTTAACTAGAGTATCTGGAATAAAGTTTTACAATCTCTAATAATTGTGTTTCCACAATTTTGGCCACTAGTGTACGTAATGATTTTACTATATTTTAAGTGTAATCTCCAGTGCTCCTCATTTCCTTATAGCTTTTTAATCAAGACAGCCATTTACAAAGAATGGGAAGCATTCCACTAAATATTACGGTTTATATTAACATTATAGTAATAAATTGGCACTAGGTTTAAACTATGACTTCATTTCCAAGAACTCAGCTCTTACCAGGTTAAATAATGAGAGGATGGATGGATGGATGGATGGATGGATGGGTTTCCAGTATTATATGTATTTCCAATATGTTTGTGAGCTTTGTTCTGGAATTAGCACCCCACTGTGAACCTGGACCTTGTAGATGTAAGACACCATTTCATCGTTTTCACACAACCATGCATGTTTCAAAGTGCTATTCCATCCAGGGCAGCTGAGACACTATGATCAAGCAGCATTCAAAAGGTATATTAACTGTCTATTTTTTTGGCTGGAAGACAATTAGCAAACGGACGGGATAAAGACAAAATGATGCTGCCGAATAGCGGAGGACCTGTTCAGGACAAGGTGTGAATCTGGGAGGGAAGCAGGTGGACCTGCCCTTACCGTGTACAAAGGCTGCTGTTATTAAAAAATAGGGGGGGGGGGTCATTTTGTGACTGACCATCTAAATTGCGTCGTCTTGGTATGCCGACATAGTGCACCGTCTTATTTATCTGTGTTCTGCTTGCTCAGTGCTAAACGCTGCCTTGTCGCTCCTGTTAACCGCTAGTTGAGCAGCCTGCACCTCCGGCGCAGCGTCGCGGTTTTTTGTTCAGCTCCGCATTCCTTTCCTCATGTGCAGACAAGAATAAAATTTACCACGGCAGTATATGACCTTTTTTTCTTTTTACTTTTTTTTTTTTTTTTTTTTACATTAAACACTACGAGAAAGTCCCTGAGCACGAGTTCATCCCATCAATTAAATATTTTATTCCCAGTTGTCTGTTTCCAGGTTTCTTCTCCTCGGAGTTGTCTGTTAGAGAAATAAAAACCCCTGAGTATTACTGCAAAGAATTCCTTGGTGGTCTAATGAGTGTGGCTCATATAAAAATTATAATTTAAAAAAAAAGGTGGTTAACATTTATATGTATTTATTTGCCAGACTCGTTTATCCAAAGCGACATATAGCCGGGATAGCCGGTCTCTGGGATAGCCAGTCTCCGGAGCAGGTGGGGTTATGGGTCTTGCTCGAGGGCCCAGCGGTGAGATTGCTCTGCCTTCCGCAGGATTTGAATCGGCGACCTGGTAATTATGAGCACAGAGTCCTGCCCCACAGAGCCACACTCAGCACCAACTTAAAAAAGACTAAAAACACCATTTTTACTTTTTTTTTGGTAATGCAACCCCAGTAAACTGGACAGGGAAGCCTATGCTGCGCCGCAGTGCACTTTCGTTTTGTAGGTGGACACTGGCATGTTTATCTCTCTGGTTTGCTTCCTCTCTAGGCTGGTACTGGGGTAGCCTCACTGCCAACGAAGCCAAAAAGATCCTTCAGGACGCCTCAGAAGGTACCTTCCTGGTGCGTGACAGCTCCCAGCAGGACTACCTGTTCACCATCTCTGCCATGACCTCCGCGGGGCCCACCAACCTGCGCATAGAGTACAAGGATGGAAAGTTCAAGTTGGACTCAGTCGTGCTGGTGAAACCGAAGCTGAAGCAGTTTGACAGTGTGGTGCACCTGGTGGAACACTATGTTCTCCTGTCCAGGACTTCCTGGAAGGGGTGCGGTGGTGACCCTCTGGTTCCGCCAAATGGCACGGTGCAGCTACTCCTGACCCAACCCGTCTATGCGACCTTGCCCTCACTACAGCACCTCTGTCGCATCTCCATCAACAAAGCCACCAGGCAGGTCCAGGAACTTCCCCTGCCCAATCGGCTGAAAGACTATTTGAGGGACTACGTCTATCACGTGTGATTGGAGAGATCACTGTCACATGACAGGTGGCATCTTCTGAGATGTGGCTATGTAGCTTTGTGTATATGACAGTTTTATGTCTTATTTTGTAGGGTTTTTTTTGTACTGTGATCAAATAAGGAAAAAAAATCTAAATTGATTTTATGTGATGCAAGTGTATATGAACCAGAAGCAATATTGAGAAGTCACAGCTCAATATCTGTGTCTGTTATACTGTTCATTTTGAAAGCCATTTCCAGACCAGTGTGTGTCCCATACTCTCACTGATCTGGGATACATCACACTTGCACCTTTTTCTACTGCCTTTCTGAATATATATCCAGCAAACCTTACATTTATCTCAATTTTCCTGAAAAGAAGTTGAAGTGTCTGACTTGAATATGAATAGATGTGTTTTAAACTGTATCACATCACATGGTGGAAGATACTACAGATCAACTTATGTTTTTTTTTTGTCCAAGTACTGGATATTAAAGTCATTAATTATAAACACCAACTTGAATTTATTTCAATCCGCGATTGGGTGTATTTATTTAGATGTCGGTTTAAAAATATTTGAAAGAGTAGAGTAATGCATGTTTTAATATTGTAGGGTAAGGTAATCCTATTGTGGATGTATATAATTTCTTTCTAATTTTGGTTTGTGAATATCCTTTTTTAATTTAAACCTTTTTAATGCCGTCCATGGATTCATAATTCTTAACGTTTGCACACTACAAAAACAAATGAATCCAGGCACAGAAGTGCGCAGCCGGTAACACCGTTTGTAATCCTGAAAGCAATCGTTTACGGAAAAAAAAATGTGAGAAATAAAATTACTTTCAGTACCATCATTAACAAAGTCTCATTTTCTGTTTCGGTATCCCGTGTCTTACAAACAAGTTAAGGGAAGATTGTTTGTTAATGATTATTTTTAAACAACAACTACTATGTTGCAGACAGAAACTAAGCACGGCATCTCGTTTGTAAAATTACGGATTTCGGTAATGGTAAGTACTGTACTATTATTTAGCTCTGATTATTTTGATTATCTCCTCGATCCGCCCCTCAGCCTCGCCAATGAAAAAGATGATTTGTTTAACCCATATGCTCGTACTCAGTACTAATCGCTGATGGCCAGTGTGGGTGTCCTGAAATCCGCAATTTTATTGTGTTCAGTAGTCAATCGGATTGAATATTAAAAATTTGGTATTTAGCTGGATTACAGTCAAGTAGGGTGACTTAAACCTAAATAAAGACTGTATTACCAGTCCCAGTGATCTGGGATCGATGTAGATCAGCTTCCTCCTTGAGGGCAGACACATAGTTGTTGGGAGTTACTCTTTTGTTGTCATTTATGAGACTATAATTCTGTAATTAATTAGTGCATGTCTGTTGCCTCTGAGGAAGATTATCTGCAAGATGAACAAAGCTACATATTAAAAAGTAGCCCTGCCAGTAAACCAAGTTGACGTTAGAAGATTATTGAAACTTTCTAAGCTTTCAGTACTAGTACGTTCCAGGAAGACCACATGGTACGATCGAGGATGTATGTGGGATAAACAGGGAATGGCGTTTAATGCCGTTAGAAACCGATGCAGGTTAATTATCCAGAGCATAAGTACGTCCTGGTGGATAAGCGTAAAAACCAGCATATACTGGGAAGTGTTAGAGTTAAACGAGCTCCAGAAGGGTGGGGTTCATCCCCCATGATTAACTGTAAAATATGCAACTCTAGAACTGGAAAACACGGGTAATTAACACATACTTAAATCCATGTATTTATGGTGCAGGGCTGCATAACATAAGCTGCCGTTTCAAAATGTTCCGTTTTGAATAATTTCGATGTTTTCAGATTGGCACCAACGACGATTGTAGTACGAGTAGTAAGCTTCCGAGAGTTCACATTTACATTGTTGAAAATTGCTCTGGATTTGGCCAAATAGAGGTCTCTTTTTCAAGTTTTCTGATGACTCAAATGAAGTAAGACTGGTATACCTCAACGGGTTTCAAGGGATTCTCAGCAGAATTAGTCTGCATTATTTACTAGGCACAGCGGTAGTATAGGTAAACAGAAAACAATGACCTACTATACTGAGTAGTGTGTATTAATTTACCTGCCCAAAGTTTAATTTTAAATCATTTATCAAATGAGATTAAATTCAACTGATTATATGTTTTGGAGTTTCGGCAATGGACAAGGTAGTAAACTGCACGCATCTGGCGTGACACTGACGCTTTCTGATTCTCACGCTCACGCAAGAAATCATACGGTAAATCTGTATTATTCCATTGTAAGCCTAAAATTAGCTGCATCAAAAGCGTTGGGGTAGTGTGCAAGCCTTATATACTAGTTGCAAGGTAATGAAATCGTTACATACATGTAAATGCGTGTGCATGTAACCATAGGTAAGACCGTATTAGCCTTTCTTTGATGGCTTTAAATGTTGTACTTCTTTTGGAAGTAAGAAATACAGACATTACAGTTCGATCGATCGTTCCTCGCAAAGTCTCAGACCCGTTTTAACCATAATTATGAAGCATAGATATAAGACACTAATAGTAACGTAAAAAATAAGGTTTACAAAAAGCATTACTAATTCCATACCTATGTTTTGACCGGATGACTATTAGTGTGACACCAGGAAGTAACATTGTATGTTGACAAATACAGTGATCCGAAGTGTAGTTAAGTGTACATGATATATCCATAATGATCATGGAATGAATGCGGGTGTATCTTTGCGATTTAATTTTGAAATGACGGGTTAACTAACCGTAAGAACATGCACTGCTAAAAGGCTAAATCCAACAAATTTGTATGATATTAGATGTATATCGCAAGTTGTAGTTACTATTATGTTTATTGGACATGGATCCGAGACACAAGGAAGTCATTAGGAAGCATCGTTTGTATCTCTCTGAACAAATTTTAATTGACGATACAATTGTTCAGTATCTTTACCAGGAAGATATTTTAACCGAAAGTCAGGTGGAAGAAATTCAGTCTCATGTAACGAACAAAAAGAAGACACTGAAGCTGCTGGATATCCTCCCCACCCGGGGTCCGCTGGCCTTTGAGGCGTTTCTGAAGTCCTTGGAGGAGGAGTTCTGGTGGGTAAAGGAAAAGTTAGAGCAGAAAGCGGAGGATCCGAAAGATCGGGCAGTGAACGAGCAAGCCTTAGCAGGTAGGACTGCCAAGTCCTTGTTCACCCAATGAAATTACAAGATTAGTTATAATTCATATAAAATAAATTATTCTAGAGAATGAATTGTCACGCAAACTGAATTGTTCAAAATATTTTGATTATATTTTTATACTGTAATTTTTAAACTCAATGTATGTCCATTATAGTACATATGTGGTAAATTGAGCTGCTTGCTTATCCATTTGAATTATTTTCAGTAGATATTATATTGAATGTGAGATTCTGCTCAAAGAAGCTGAAAGTCATGCTTCAGTGTACCCCATAAGTAATTTAAAATCGGCGATTCTCAACCCATGGGTCGCGACCCAGATCTGGGTCACGGCAAGCTCAGAAAGGGTCGCGAGGCAGAGTTGGAAATGTAAGCATTTTTTAAACCAGCAAGCTCCTACGCTGATCCACGATCAGATTTACCAGCCCCAGTTCTAGAATTAACCAATAGAAACGGGACTTGGATCTGCCAATACTTAGCGCAAAACTAGTGAACACACGACCAATCTATGAACCCAAACCACAGATGCTTAACTTGAAATTCACTGGCACATCCAACCAGATTCGTGCGATAGGTATTGATTGGTATAAATTGCAGAATGCACTGTGTGCTTGGTCATAGCGTTACTTTAAACCTTTAGGCCTACTTGATATAGGGTTGAGACTAAGCTGGCATAGTAAAAAAATTTGGTTGCAGTGCAAAAACGGTTGAGAACCAGTGATTTCGATAACGTAAGAGATAACAGAATTAACAATCGTTAGCAGAATTAGACGTTCAGGATACTAAAAGGATTAAAGTTAAGGCTACTTCCTTTGGTATTAAACCAATCTCTTGTTTTGTCTGTACGGCACACAGCTGACTGATCTTAAGAAAACGGCGCATATATAAATGTTTTACCGCGTCGTACTGAACCTTGCACGTGGTTCGTGTTAAAAAACGCAGTTTTAAAACGTGTTTTAAACAAAAAACAATATGTTAATATAATCTCTCACGAAAGTGGATAAAATAAAAGCTTTGCAGGGCACCTTTTAAGGCCCCCCCCCCTCCATGTGTGTGGTTTCTCTGTTTCTCTGACGGGTTTTATTTCCTCCTCTATTGAGGGCAAGCGCTTGCTCTGCATCCTCCTTTCTAGGAAAAATGTAATTAAATCCATTTGCTGGCCGGTCTCCCTCTCTGCCCGCTCCCTTTCTGTGTTTCGAGGTGAACAGCAGGAATAAAAAAAAGAGAGGAGAAAATAATTCCGCTTTTGTGGGGTCGCTTTTCTAGGAAACCAGAGAGGATGAATGGGGAGGACAGGCAGTTATTTCAGCTTTTTTATGTGAACAGTAATTTAACGACAGAAATAAGCAACTTTGTACTTGTTCTACTAATCATATTTATAGTACAATGAAGATTTTTTTAAGTATTTTCCCCAAAGTTTCATGTCTTACCAAAAAAACCCCAATTTATTTTCATATTCTTAAAGCTAAATCATTATCGAGGCAGCCAATGTTTTCTGAGAGACCATGAGTATTAGATTAGTCTAGACTATGTTTGTCTATATGCATGGGTAATGTAAGGTCAGTTCTTATGTAGAAATTGCTTAGAACTCACTTTAGCACAGGGAAGCATCCATCCATTTTCTGAAACCACTTATCCTATTCATGGTTGTGGAGGGTTTGGAACCTATCCCAGAGGCTATGGGGGCAGAGCATAGAACAACCCAGGATGGAGTGCCAACACACCACTCACGTACATATGCGCACCTGTGGACAATTTGGTAACTCCAATTAACCTCAGCATGTTTTTGGACTGTGGGAGGAAACTACGTGATGACACGGGGAGAACATGCAAACTCCATACATGGAGCTGTGGCGGAGACTCGAACCCAGGTCCCAGAGGTAGGAGGTGACAGCACCACCATGCTGCCCCCAAAGAAAAACAGAAATGAATTATCTGCTCTCCTGTAAGGAGGCCATCTTTGAACTCACAGCAGGTAGAACTAGGGCCTCATCCGCTGCTTTCAAGTGTAGACAAGCTTTGAGACGCTTATGAGTGTCACCAGTCAGGCCGTATGGTAACACACGACAGAGGTACATAAGCAGAGGGTTAGCAGGCCCAGACGCTGCTGAGATGAAGGACTGGTGCCACCACAGTCCGAAAGGAGTTGCAGCAGAGACGAGGATCGCGAGATGGCGAAAGACGAGTCTTTGCATCATACCAGCTGTGCTGCTTTTCTGACCTGTCTGGATCGGGTCTGACCCAGTCTAGGGAGGGTCAGAAGCTCAATGGAGTGAAGCAAGGTGAACACGGTGAAGGGAGCCTTGCGGAGAAGGTGTGATATTGGCCTCCTGCTGAGCCATGAAGATTGTTTTTAAAAAGGCAGTTTTTTACACCAGTGCATTACACTAACTTTTTTATTTTTTTTCGCAGAGGAAAGAAGGTTATCTAAGGCCTGTTGTTGTTTTCCAGCATCTCGTTTCATCAAGATATAAAAATGAAGTAATATACATTTAAATTAATTCGTCTTTCATTATCACTGTGGGGGGGGGGGGGACTGAGAAGTGTAAAATTCTAAAATGGTTGTAAATCAAGCAGTGGCTATAAACCGATAAAACAAAGGATTTTTATATTAAGACATACTTCATTCCATTATTGTAATTAAAATCACTGGATGGGTGGGCTTCTTGCCTAGGAGCCGGCAGAAGCCGTTTTGGCTCGCATACCCAGCGAAGAGGATGATTTGCAAGGCAGAGAAAAGGCCAAGGGCCCTCTGCAGCCACAGCGGCAGCGTTACAGAAATCAGTTTCGCCTTGGAGTTCCCCGCTCTCCAAACCTGCCATTAAATGATTCTCCGAGCCACTGGCCAATCTGGAAAGGTTTCCCGAGACGGAGACTTTGCTACCAGCTGCATTCTGTTGGCACTGAGGATGGAAAAATGTGTTTTGGTTTCACCTGCCAGCAGTTTTGATGAAGACCTCCGGTGACCCGCCGTAAAATACGGTGGTGGATCTTCAATATCATGATGTCTTGCTTCCTGGCCTGCTGGCGTCGTCGTTAAGATCAAAAGCATATTGAGCTCCTTTAAATACTAGGATATTTTAGCCAAAAAGATTTATAACCTCTGCCAGGGGACTAAGAATTGACCGTAAGGCAGCCATCCAGAAGCAAATGAATCCCAGCACATGCGAAGATCACCCCCAAAAAGGTAACTAACCACAGGATGAACCATTTTTGATGACCATATGTCTACAAATGTGAATCCTGTTGGAAATCTGTGCTTTCAATTGTACAGGCTAGTCTGATACACAGAATCTATCTAGTTCTGTTTAAGATTCTGTGAAAGGTCCCATCTAAAATACCCCCAAACATCATTGTGTCTTTGAAATTGCAGGTACATGAAGTACTGAACCCTGGATCTGCCAATAATTCTTTCGGAAATGTGTAATTTTTATCAATTCCAACATATGGAGCTCATTATCCTTTATTAATGATTTAATGGAAAATTTAAATATATCCTCATGTTGGGATTGCTGCCTTGTTTTTGTTCGCTCGTCTTCATCAAGGGTCGCAGTCCCTTTAGAGGTGTGTGTGTGTGTGTGTGTGTGTGTGTGTGTGTGCGTGCGTGTGTGTGTATGTGTGTGTGTGTGCGTGTGTGTGTATGTGTGAGTGCGTGTGTGAGTGCGTGTGTGTGTATGTACGCGTGTGTATGTGTGAGTGCGTGTGTGTATGTGTGAGTGCGTGTGTGTGTATGTGTGAGTGCGTGTGTGTGAGTGAGTGCGTGTGTGTATGTGTGAGTGCGTGTGTGTGAGTGAGTGCGTGTGTGTATGTGTGAGTGCGTGTGTGTGTATGTGTGAGTGCGTGTGTGTGAGTGAGTGCGTGTGTGTGTATGAGTGCGTGTGTGTGTATGTGCGCGTGTGTGTATGTGTGTGTGTGTGTGTTGTATATACATACTAGCCACTTGTCAGAAGAGAGAAGGCTCTTTTCACGTTTGGTAACATGAGGGACGCAGCTAGCCTTGGCACGGATGGCTCAGTTGCCTTTGAAGTGACGGAGAGTCCAGCAGCGTGCCGTTTGAAGTCGGGCTTCCCCTTCTGGATGAATGAGCTGATGTAATGATAATTGGCTGTAAAAGTGAGGAGTGTTTGTTTTCGCTGGCGTGCCGCGCCTGCCGGCTTCTCTCTCGCTCTGCCTGCTTTCCAGGAACCTTGGCAAAGGAAGAGGCCGTCCGCCAGGGCTGTAAAACACGCCGTGGGCCCTGCTCTCGGCCCTCGCCTCGTCCCAGCCCCCTTCCATATTGTTTTTCCTCACTTTCCTGATCAGTGGCCCTTTCATTTCTCTCTCAGGTGTCTCTTCTCTCAAGGAACATCAGCTAGTTGAGAACAGGCAAAGCAGAAATGGAGTCGTAACTACAGCACTAGCAGCTATAAGGGAATGGTTTTCTAAGTGCGGCTTTCCAAGTACTAAAGATCTTTTTGCATGAGTAACTGAATGATCATTTTAGCTTCGGGACACCAAAATAGAAAACAGACTTCTGAAATAAAGCTATGCGTAGGTCTAGCTTTTGTTAGCAAGTTAGTAATAGTAGCTTTCAGTAAGTTAGTTGATCCACATCAGGTTTTCTTTTGTACTTTCTGTCTGTTTAAAGCTGGGTGTACGACGTGCATAAACTAAAATGTTAGTTTTCGCTGTGGACTTTTACACATTCATTATTACCACCAGAAGAGAAGCCAACATGATGCATTTTGCAGTACTTTTTTCATCAAAACACACCTAACATTGGAAAAAAAAAATCTAGGTTTTAAGAGACTTTTGTGATTTGTGCGGTAGAGCGAGGCATGCTGGGAATCCACGTGCTGTTTTCATTTTTTGAAATTGAAAGAGGACATAGCATGTTGTGATTTTATTTGAGGCTTTTTGTGAGTTCTGCTTTTGGAGGGAGGTGACAGTTCAGTGAGTGTCGGTTGTAGCCCCTGTTTCCCACATCGCCGCCACTGTACTTCAGGGTAAACTTGGGCAAGAGCCACTGACCAGCACAGTATGAGACACGGTACCGCGGTAGATGGCGAACCATACAGCCGCTAGCTCTGTGACGTGCAGAGGTGCGTGTGCACATGGGCCCTTAGCTCACAGATATCCTCACAGACTTTGGTTTCCCTTCCAGTTCATAGCATTAACACCCGTAACAATGTTATGATCCGCATTAAAACCGCATGACACTCTCTGGTGAGTGGTGATCTGCAGAAGTACTCGTACGAGAACCAAAGAAATGAGCGGATTGGATTCAAAACTAGACCGAAACATAAGATGAAATATCACATAAATCAGTCTTATTGAGTCTGCAAGTAATCGATTCTGATTCCTATTCTTTGGGCTGAATGGAAAAGTTAATAAACTTTTGTCGTGCATTGCTGTGCAAAACTTAATTTCCGATGGCAGGCCAGATAAGAAATAAGGCAGAAAGTTGGTTTTACTCTTTATTAACTTATGCTTACATGTCTTATTTTACCAAATTGTTACCAGGCACATCTGCTTTGTGTTTTGCTTAATAAGGCATCAAATATCAACTAAGGAATAGCAGTGAATTCTCTTTTGACTTTTTTGGTGTTTCTGACCAGGTTTCCATGAAAACTTTCACCAAAGCTGATTACATCTCCAAATGGGTCATTAACTTTACTTACGGTCAGACCGTCCTGCTCCTGCCTGGACCACAGCATTAGTGCAGACCGTAATCTGTCCGTGTCCAAGGTCAGTTGGTCTCCATTGTTATGAAGGAGGATGCTTTTTTTTCTTTCTTTCTGGAAACGCCTCCCATCTACTGAAGACGACCGTAATGCAGGCTGGACGGTCAGACCCAGCAGCTTAGGCTACAGTGTACATGGTCCCAAAAGTCTCTCTTCACTGCACTTTATCCTGCCTGATCGCGGGTACGGCGTGAGACGGAACGTTCCCAGGAAGGCCGTGCATGGTGTCACTGGTGATTTGCACTCCTCTCAGCAGTGCTTGGCACCACGGCTGGTGCCTTAACCCCGTAACTCAACCCACCGCATCCCGCTGCCCGGGGGACAACCCAGTCCACCTCCTCTTCAGATTCACTTGAACTTTCGCCTCAATCTAACCCCTACTGAACAACTACCAAAGTCAGAACATGAACCATTCAGGAAGAAACATACAGTATGTTTTATTTGTGGTTTTGATGCTATCCTCTATGTGCTTGTAACTTGATAAGTAGACAGCGTCTTGCTTTTTTTTTTTTATTATTATTAATGAATGTTGTTTCTTCTTTCTTTGTCTCTTCCTTTCCCAGAACAGTGTGCTATTCCTGAGCCAACATTGCAGAAGGTTCCGACGGACCAGGATCTGAACCGGCTGGCGGGCCGGCTCGGGCTGGAGTGGGAATCGGTGGTGCTGGACCTGGGCCTGCCCCTGTGGGAGGTGCAGAGGTGCCGGGCAAGCCACCCGCTCAGCCTACACGGCCAGGCGTTGGCAGGCCTGGTGCGCTGGAGACAGCGCTCGGGTCGCAAGGCCACGGTACAGCGCCTCCTTCAGGCTCTGCAGGCGGCTGACATCCACCCCTCCACCCTGGAGGATGTATTCCAGTGACAGGCCAATTTTTTACAGACATACAGTGACAATGTTTTGTTGCCCTTGTTATAATTCCACCACTGTCAGTCAGATTTGACATTTTACCAAACAGATGTTTTAAAACATGCAAATGGACACTTCTTGTATGGGAATTTGAGCCTGTTGTGTTGGAAATCTTTAAACCAGCTGCTACACTAAGGAGACCAACCAGTGACTGAATAGAACAGGTCAGTTTACCAGGACACTGGCATTCTTTTGGCTGGGACCAACATCAGGCTTATTTGTGGCTTTGTAGGACTTACCACTCAGTCAACATTCCAGTTTGCAGCACTGATGATTCCCTGTGAATCGCACAGCCAAGGGGTAAGAGCCAGCCAATTGGGGGGGCAGAAGGGGCACCATCACTGGTGTGAGTCTAACAGACATTCCCCCAGTCCTGCACTTCAAACACCAGCACATCTAAATTGCCTGTAAACGTGACAATGCCGGGTTCATTCCTGGAATGTATACATCCATCCGCGCCCCATTAAAGATAACCTGGGCTATTATCTTGTGGCACGTTAATATCCTCCCTTCTGTTGTTGACCTATAACTCAACTGTATACGGTCCTTCGATACGGAGCAAATGAAGCGATTTCCAAGAAGTAATAGCGAATAAACATGTCCCAGTAAAATCCCGCATTGGTCTGGGCGTCTTTGTTCTCCAAACAAGGTCACGGCAGTGAGGGTATCATTGGACATGCCTGTCACATGATCACGTTCTGTGCCGGGCGTTCTTTTGATTTCTCATGACCTTCTTTTTCACTGAGTCGCGTCTCCCCTGTGGGCTTTTGCTGTCTACATCACTTTGAGCAGCAGCTTTCAACTCATGGCAGACTCAAGAGCGCCCCCTGTTGGTGGGGGTTGCGGATTTCGCACGTGACTACATATAACCTGTCATTCCATAAAAATAAAAATCGGGAACAGCAAACCTTGCAAAATCTGTGTCAGTTGTATACGTGAGTTGGTGTGTAACCCGCATTAATAATCACACAGATGACAATGCTTAAGATTTTAATTCAAATATCTGAAATCGGTTCTGCCTGCATACGGCAGTCGGTTCCAGTATGCCTAATCCTTCCTGTTCTCATGTCTGTAGAAACTGATCTTGTGACTGTTGACAGAAACTGAGGAACCGTTGGCGGTTCACAGAGCTGGGGCCCATCATTCCCAGACCTTTTTGTGAAATGGCTCGTGCTTTACTCAAGGTGAAATCAGACGATATGAATTTGTTTGTATACGTGCGCAGTGTCTGGGGCCTCAGGAATTTCACTGCGAGGCCAATCTACTCTGCGAGGCCCGAAAAGAGGAAGGTGAGTAGCGGAGTGCCGACGTGCCAGAACAGTGTGTGAAATGCTAACAGCGGCTAATTTTTCGTTTATGACCTTCTATGGAATTGCAAGGCTTCCTGCGCTCTCTCAATTTCTCTGTTCCTGTGAATGCGACAGGAAGGCTGTGTCCTTTCAGTGGAGTTGTTGAAGAAGCTGTTTTTAAAATCCACTCACAGGGAAAAGGCCAGTGCTGTCGGGGGGGGGGGGGGGGGGGATTACATAACACCGCGCACAAATATTTGATTGTCAAGACTCACAGTCTCCTGTTCTGCTAACGGCCTGTTTACACCGGTTACCTTGTTATACAGCATGGGTCACTTCCTAATAGGTAACTCATTATAGGATGGAGTTGTGTTTGGTGCGTCAGCGGAACGCGGGACCTACGCTGCATTATGCGGCCCTAATCGTGAGGAAAAGGGCACAGCATGCCGTCCCAGTTTTTATGGGGGGGAGGAGCGAGTGCAGGGGGCCCGCGCGGGTGTGCATGCGCTACCGGGTGCCCTTACGGGACGAGCTTTCCAGGAATCTGCAGATAAGCAGTACAAACAGCCAACCTGGTCAAACAGAAAAACGGCGTGTGGATTACCGCGGCCGCAGAAGCGGGGAGCCTCCCTATCTCTTCCTCCTATAGCGTCACAAGGGCCTCGTCCAGTTGTTGTTATTCTAAGGGACTTGTGACTGGCATGGTTCAGTGTTTCCTGTTTATGCATTTTTTGTGCTTTTTGGTGTCTGTTTCGGGTCATTGTCCTGCTGAAGGGCCCATGGTCTTTGATTCTCACCTAGTTCTCTGACACTGGGTCGCTCATTTTGATCTAAAATATCCTGGCAATCTGATTTCAAGGTCTCCTTAACATTCAATGCTTTCAGTAGCAGAGGCAGCAAAGCAGCCCCCCCTCCCCCCCAGCATTTAACTCTAGGTGGGGTGTTCTTTTCCATAGAAGCTTATTTTAGTCAGCTGTAAGCAAATCACTGATCTGCATTGCAAAAGACCTCTTTTTTGCTTTCATCGGTATTCAGAACATTTTCCTAGAAGGATTTTTGGTTTATCTAAATGGGGTTGGGCAAAGATCAGTCATTTCTTTCTGTTTGCCTTCCTCCTTGGCCTCGCTTGAATGTGTGTTGTATGGTACCAGTTGTAATCATAGCTCCAGGTCAGCTCTAAGCTCATTGGAAGTTGTGCGTGATGTTTTCTTTCCAGACTTTTGCACCCTATTCTGAAGACTTTTCTGTTTGGTCAGTCTTCTCACCTGGTTCCTGGCTCTTGTGCGAGCAGCAAACGCTTTCATGCACTGAGGAGGCTGGGATGCTGAGGGCTTGGTGAGACGGCCTTGTGCCCTTTGAAACCGTGATGTTTGGTTTCTCCGTCTCAGGCACCATGGTTGTTTTCACCGAAGTCACTGAGGAACAGTGGATCAGAATGAACTGTTTTTCAACATTAAAGCATATCTAAGATTAATGTGTGTCTTGTGGCAGTTAAAGGTGAGTCTATTTGCTTTGGAAATGACAGTATGGCCTCTTAACTTTTAAAAAGTGTGCCAATAATTGTGATATAGTAGCTTTTAAGTTTTTATACCATTTCTGCGCATTTAGTTTCAGAATAATGCTGGTGAGTACAGCACGAGGGTGTCACTAAATCCCTCAGCTGTTTTTGGTGCTGTGGGAGGAGCCTGTAGATTTCACACACCGCGCTCCATCTGGATTAAACAATTCTTACCCTTGGCTAATATTTACACCCTTTATAAAAAAGCAATTTGGATGCTTTCAGTGTTTGACAGAGAGAGTGGCGATGTAAGCAAGACCATATTGGCTTCCAGCATTTCTGTGTTGATACATCATTCTTTGATTCGATGTTACTTTTTATTGTTATTCTTATTTATATCTTTATTGATAATTCATTCAACTAATCTGGCAGTTAACTTTTGTTCCAATGCTCCCTTTTGGTCTCCTCCTCTGGTTACATGGGAGGAACGATTGGGAACTCTCTGGGTGTCGTGGATTCAGCTGGTGAGATCACTTGATCTGGAACAGCACGGTCAGGGAAGCCTCTCAGGAATCGACAGGAATGCGTGTAGATCCTCAGCGTGTCACGGCTTTACCGCAGCTCTGAGTGACCCTGCATGCCCTCAGCACCCGGGACATGGTTTACAACCGCTGCCTCTCAGTGACCCTCCAGTCTGGAGTTTGACACGATTCGCTTGTCCTGTTTCCCAACAGCTCGCTTCGTAAACTATACACACACCCATCCATCATGTGAGTTCAACTGAGGTAAGACCATGATTGACTGATATTGACATGCTTGGGTAGGGTATGAGGACGACTTTCCCCCATGTTGCAACATTTTTTAACCACGACTTTTCCACTTAGCATGGATGTTTCCCGCCTCGTTCTCATATTTTTGACTTTGTGATGCTTTCCTCTGTAGCCTAGCTTGGTGATGGATTCTCCAGTGTATTATTTCAGTACACAGACCCGTCAGTCAATAATCAGGTACACTAATGCTCACATGCATGAGGTAGAGCTGATTGGCCAGGAAGTATGTGAGTTCAGAGCAGGCATCCAGCCTTCATGTCTCAATGAGCTGTTTTGACTGGATGTAGCCGTAACCTTAGGCTTCTACAACATTGACAGTTTAGTTAGCTAATGGCTTGGCAGTCTTTTTGAACAGTACCGTTTAAGACTGAATTCGCTTATTGCTCCATTGAAAGTTTTAAGTGGCATCTTGTTGGCATTTTCTCACCAAGTATATCACTCTGTGGTCAGTTTATATGTATAAGTACTTATATGTACAGTTTGTATTACATCGATTCCCAGAACATGTTGGGTCTGTTGGGAATGAAGGCGCTTCGAAACATCTCTCAGATCCTCTGAAAATGGGCAAATTCCCCAGTAACTCCAAAGCAGCCCCCGCCGAGGAGGCAGCAGTGTCCCCCCAGGCCTGGGTGGCCGCCTCCACCATAACTATGTAGCCTCTCATGCCTCGAGTAAAATTACACAATCCCGAGAGGATCAGAATTGTTGGCAGTGACATTCCGACAACTGTGATGCTCGTCAAGCTAGAATATGAGACAAAATGTGGTTTAAATGCTACGAATGCAGTTTGCAGCCCAACGGCGGAGCGAGATTAATATCGGGGGAGGGGCATGGAGGGGTCACAGAGAAGCAGCAGTAAAGTCGGGGAACATGAAGGCAGTCACTGGCTTCTTTCTACAAAGTGCATAAAATAAAAACACACCATATGTTCTTATATTACACAATGATTATGGTCATGATTCGTTTATGTTCGTGCATTTCTGGGAACCACTAAAACTATACTGTTGCTGCATCATATACAGGCATTTGGGGAATTATGTTCCGTGTTTTATGATCGACGTCGCTTGGAGCCAATGAA